TGGCTGCTGATTGGCTGATGCGATCACATGTCGTTGAGGAATGCATTATGGGTCAGCGCGCCCTTGTCTGCGCGCCTTCCCAGACATCCCCGCTCCGTCGCCGCACATGTCAGCCGCCATTTTCGGAAAAATTTCGATTCGCGCGTCCGAATTAGGCTATTTTTCGGATTCGGCGCTTCGATTCGCTCATCTCTAGCGCCAACGTCCATCCTCAGACACTGTGGGCCCTGTGCGCTTGCGTTCCGCTGCTATGGCAGCAGGGGAGGGGTGGGGTGGTAGGAGCAGTGGCAGCTCCACCAGCAGCGGCTGCCTCAGTCTGCAGTTGATGATGAGTAGCTTTCTTCACCAGCGCAGTGAGGAAACTACTAACCAGCCGCAGCAGCAGAAGCATCAGGTGGACCTGGAGCAGGACCTCAAACAACAGGCTTGGGCCTACTTGGACAGCACCCTGCCAACCGAGGTAGACAATCCCCTTGACTACTGGGCAACGAAAACTTGACCTTTGGCCCAACTAGCTGAATTTGCCCTTGAAAGGCTGTCATGCCCGGCCAGTAGCGTGGCATCGGAGCGCGTGTTTAGTGCGGCAGGAGGTATTGTAACTCCGCGGAGGACACGACTGTCCACCCAAAGTGTGGAGAGACTCACGTTTGTAAAAATGAATCAGGCGTGGATTAGTCTGGATTTCAAACCACCAGACCCGACACAACTGACCTAATAACCTAGCCGTTCAGGCCGCTCCCTGAACACCTCGGGAATTGCTTTGTATATCTGTCGCCTTAGAGGCCGCTGTCTGAACAGCTCATGAATTGCTTTCTATATGTGTCGCCTTTGAGGCCGCTGGCTGGACAGCTGATGAATTGATTTGTATATATGTACTTATTGTCCGCTGTCCGGACAGCTCATGAATTACTTTTTGTATATAGCCTTCCAAACCACTCTCAGAATAAGTCATGATATTCATGCTGTGTATAGCCTTATAGGCCAATGGTCAATCAAGTCATGATTGTTATAGTGTGTATAGCCTTATAGGCCGCTGTCTTTACAACTTTATAATTCCATGCAGTATATAGCCCTATCGGCCACTTTCTGGCATCCAGTTGCTGTAGCCCCCATCACCACACTGTGCCACGGGCCCCTGTACCGCCTTCTCATACTGCTGCCAGATCCATCCTCTGCCATGTGCGTCTTTGTCGTCTGCTCACGCTGCTGGGTTCCAGTTTTAAACCTAGGCCTGTGTATGGCTTCCGAATACTGCTGCCTCCACCGCCACCCTGCGCCATGTGCCTCTGTCGTCTGCTCACGCTGCTGACGGCTTCCGCTTTTTAACCGAGGCCTGTGTTTGGCTTCCGAATACTGCTGCATCCACCGCCACCCTGCGCCATGTGTCTCTGTCGTCTGCTCACGCTGCTGACGGCTTCCGCTTTTTAACCGAGGCCTGTGTTTGGCTTCCGAATACTGCTGCATCCACCGCCACCCTCTGCGCCATGTGTCTCTGTCGTCTGCTCACGCTGCTGACCGGCTTCCGCTTTTTAACCTAGGCCTGTGTATGGCCTTCAATTGAAGCTGCTTCTGCTCCGCCACTCTGCCATTGGACTCTTGATAGTCGTCTCCCCACGCTGCTGGGGGACTTTTTAACATAGGCCTCTGTATGGCCTTCAATTTTAGCTGCTTACGCTCCGCCACTCTGCCATGGGCCCCTGTACCGCCTCCTCATGCTGCTGCCAGGCCCGTAATCTGCCATGGGCCCCCGTACCGACTCCTCATGCTGCTGCCAGGCCCGTAATCTGTCATGGGCCCCTGTACCGCCTCCTCATGCTGCTGCCATGTCCAGAGTGTGTCATGGGTCCCTGTACGGCCTCCCATTGCTGCTGTCTCCATCGCCACACTCTGCCATGTGCCACTTTCAGGTCTCCTCACACTGCTGGTGGGTTCCATTTTGTCATAGGGTGCTGTATGGCCTCCCATTGCTGCTGCCTCCACCGCCACACTGTGGCTCCACACTCTGGTTTTGGCCCCGTGACTGCCCAAATGAGTGAAGTGTGCGGTGATTCTAAGATCGACGGCACTCATCTGCATGTCATACTGACTGACAGTATTATTTCTCTTCCCCAGCAGACTCCAAGGGCATTTAAATTAAAGGTACAGTGTTCTGCACTAATATAAAGGCTCTCTGAAGCCTAGAAACACCCTTTTTATAAGTTAAATTCGCAGCGAATATATTCGGCTCGAAGCAAATTTTTTCCGCGAATTCGGCAAATCAGCCGAACCGAATTTTTGAATAATTCGCTCATCTCTAGTTAGTATATATCCGGCATTCACCACACAGGCGTCAAAGGATGATCCTCATGTGTTGGTAATTACTCAGCATACTACTGTGTATCCAGCATATCACCAAACTCCAGAGAAGATCCTCTCATATCCAGATTAGCACATGTGGGTAAAGAAAATACTCGCCATAGTGCAGGATCATCCAACAATTTTATTGCCAAACAAACCCCCCTTAAAATCACACTCACAATGAGCAAATAAAAACAAGGCGTTTTGTTATATATCAGAGCTCCAGTCTCTGCATCCTGTGTCTCACCAGCCAGCCCGCATTCAAGATGGTAATAGTGCGATCACGTGATCCGGACACGTGATCGTGCTATTACCATCTTGAATAATAAAATTGTTGGATGATACTGCACTATGGCGAGTATTTTCTTTACCCACATGTGCTAATCTGGATATGAGAGGATCTTCTCTGGAGTTTGTTTGGTGCTATGCTGGATACACAGTAGTATGCTGAGTAATTACCAACACATTAGGATTGTCCTTTGAAGTCTGTTTGGTGAATGCTGGATATATACTAACATGCTGGTTAATTACTAGCACATGGTGAGTGTGCATTTTGATGGGGTGTTTTTGAGCACTGAATACCACATTGCTTATGAAGGAGGATCTCATTACTTCATTTACTGAGGATCATGTTTATATGGACTTTTCTGAATGGACTATATTGAGATTCCCTATTTATTGATTTTTTGTTTGCACTATTAATATGCACTTATTTGGTGGTGGTTATATTTAGTTGTGTGATTTGGTTTGCGCTATTATTTGTGATTTGTATATTTTTCACATTTTTATTATTATTTTGAGTTTTTTAATAATAGCAGCATCCAGTGAGTGTATTTCCTCTCTTTAATACATTGGCGCAATGATGTTGGTATAATAGAAGTGTTGTATTTATTGGAACATTTCTTTGGTAACTAACTTTTTAGTGATTCCAAGAATTAGCTCTCATGCACACGGGGCGTTTTAATAACGCTGGTAACGTTAGCTGTGTAAAGTCACGTTAAAAATTTGAGTTTTTTCAGCGTATTTTAGTGTTTGTGCATTAGACTTTAGCCGCGTTTTGCAGTGTTTTTTTTCGCGTTTGCAGTTTTTAGCATTTTTTTTGCTCTAAAAAAGTCCAAAAACGCCTGTTTGCCGTGATTTACTGCCTTTTTCCCCGCAATTTACCACGTTTTACCACTTTTTTTCAGCGTTAGAGCGTTTTTCAAGCTAAAAAAAAACTCTCACCTAGAAACCCACTAGTCCTGGGGTTTTTTTTCCAGCCAAAGCCACAGTCTATGTGTGTACGGACACATAGGATAACATGGTGGAGGGTTTACTGGCTGTAGAAAAAAATGTCAAAAGCCAAAAACAGCCGCTGTAAAAATATCCAGTGTGCATGAGGACTTAGAAGTACCTATGTTGGACCCAGCAAACACCAAAAACATTTTTTCCCAGGCCACGCAGTAAATATGTTTCTATACGGAGAGAGTGTTAACCAGAAAATCTGCCCCTTTATTCTAACATTAGCTTACTGGTTTAATTTACTGTTTCCAAGAAATTGATCCCTAGGAAGGAAAATGCTTCATCTCTTTCCTACCAGATCCCTAGGAAGGAAAATGCTTCATCTCTTTCCTACCAGTCTTAATAAGCGGCTGAGTGAAAGCTCCTACACCTGTGTTATTAAAATGCAGTCATATGATTGCGTCTTTCTGAAGGGACAGAACGCTGTATGGTGTCACTGCATGCTGTCAAAACAATGATCCTATATAATCATTAAGACTGTATCTGTTCTAATGTGTGACCACGTGGAGAATAGAGACCCCCTGGCAGAACACATAATCACAGCCATGTACTGCAATTACTGGGCTTTGTACCTGTGATTGAAGAGATGATGGCAGCATGAAACAGGTGTACATGATATAGTTTTCTAGCTGCCTGTGTGTCCATTGGGAGAATTAACCCTCACTTCCTGTTCTGTCTGAGATCAGCCAAAGAGAAAGGAAGTGGGGCGATTTTCCTTCACATCCTGAACCCCCTCCCATATGCAAGAAAATATATATTTGAAATATTTTTCCCAAATACATTGACATATATTTGAAATGCTACAATTTTGCTCATATTAATAAGTAATAGCATGCTGATTTTTACATGTAGGAAAAAAGTGTCAGAATTGATCAGGTAAGTGGGTAAAACAAGAAAATAGAATATACCTTCCTATCTATTTACTAATGCTAGTAGTATAAGGATTGCAAATAGTTAAAGTGTTACTAAACCCACAACAGTACAATCAGTCTGTATATGCAGTAAAGCATGCTTGTTATACTCACTGTGGAACCTAAGGGGTTAATCCTTCACATTGTTTAAAAAAGGCTGTTTGATCCTATCCTCTCTGATCCTCCCCTTCTACTGTCCCCAACCCACCTGCTGATAGTACAGAGCTCTAGGACTCCACTCTGCACTTGCTCAGTTTAGCGTGTATTGCTAGAGAGTTTTTTTCTCTTTGGGAGGGTGCATGTGATCAGCACAGGGCGAATCAGCACTGTCCAGACAGAGGGTCAGGGGTCGTGCAGCCTCATAGGACAGTCAGAGGAGAATGAAAACTCCTCCTACGAGATTAACTAGTGCTCAGCTGGACACTGGTAGAAGTCACAAGACTGCTATATACTGCTGATGAGAAAAGATATTTAGCAGTTTATATCTGCTAAAATAATTGTATTTCCATTTTGTGTGTACTGTAGGAGATCAGATATAGTGAATGCAGGGTCTGGGGAGACCGGATATAGTGAATGCAGGGTCCTTGGAAACCAGATATAGTGAATGCAGGGTCCGGGGAGACCAGATATGGTGAATGTAGGGTCCGGGGAGAGCGGATATAGTGAGTGCAGGGTCTGGGGAGACCAGATATAGTGAATGCAGGGTCCTGGGAGACCAGATATAGTGAATGCAGGGTGCGGGGAGACCAGATATAGTGAATGCAGGGCCTGGGGAGACCAAATATAGCGAATGCAGGGTCCGGGGAGACCAGATATAGTGAATGCAGGGTCCTGGGAGACCAGATATAGTGAATGAAGGGTCCTAGTAGACCAGACCAGATATAGTGAATGCAGGGTCCGGGGAAACCAGATATAGTGAGTGCAGGGTCCGGGGAGACCAGATATAGTGAATGCAGGGTCCAGGGAGACCAGATATAGTGACTGCAGGGTCCTGGGTTTAGTAACACTTTACGGCTGGGTGAAAGAGTTTAGATAAGCATTTCACACAAGGGTATGCCAAGGACTAGGCTTGCTCCCCACGTTCTAACTGCATCTGGACAAGCCAGACTCCTAGCAGACCTCCGGGGAGAAGTTATGATTGTTGTGAGCATGACTTTCACACTTTGGAGTTTTTTTTTTTTCCCATTAATCACAAAAGCAGGATACATCAGACATTTCACAATAATCAGCCTGTGATGCTGAGACTTGCACCGAAGCCACGGAATGCCTGCAAACTGCGGTTGAGACATACAAGGACAGAGACATTCCGGGGAGATAAATGCTGAAATGTTTACAATGTGATCCTTTTTCCCTAGACTTTGTGTTATTTTATTATATTCAATGTCATTTTGATTTTATGCTCTCTTCAAGGCTACTTCGTTCAGAAGGGGGAGATCTGCTTAAAAGTGTGGCGGATTCATTGTGACAGATTTCAGCCTGGGAGAGGAGGGTTGCTTGTGAATCCATATTATCTGGGAAATACAATTACATCAATCCTCTTGTCATGACCCGCGCTAACCTTTACTTTCCAGATTATATATTTTTTTTTTTATATTCATGACAAACCGCTCTTGAAGTTGTATTTATTGTCCATTTGTATTCCATAGAATGAAGATGTATTAGTACAAATAGATGATTAAAGAAGAGGAAAAGTAAATAAAGAGAGGACAAATAATAATAGTGATCGCTTGCCGCTTTTATAAAGTGATGAGATTTTTGATAGATTTCACCCTGGCTTCCTTACAGACAGCTTAGAAAACAGGATTAAAGATAAAATGAATGTTCCCGGTATGCTAGGATGTTGTTGTATTCATGTTCTCTATAGCACTGGATATACTAAAATCATGTTAAGGAAAGGGGGAAAATATTTTTAAGGGAAACTGATTTAACTCTAAAAAAAAGAGCGGAATCGGTGCAGCGCTTAAATTAGAAAACATAAAATAAGTACTCTATTCAACTGTCCTAAGCGTATATATAAAGGCAGAAAAAAAAAGGAAATAGAATGCAATAGTACACGATGCTATAAAATAGTGAAGCGCTAAATAAATAAATATATATATATATTAAGGTGCCAACAGTGAGTGTAAGTGCTATAGTGTTAACAGTCCCTTGTTAAACACTGGAACATTATAACCAATAGTGTATATTAAATAGAAAAAATCAAACTGAATCCATAATATATCAGTGATGATAAATAAATAAACAAACCAGTGACAAATAATCTTATATCTCCAAAAAATTCCTTCTCCTCATTCACTATTTAAAGTGAAGAGTGCTCATCAATAATAAAAGGTGATTTGTGTTTGAGCACTAGAAGTGAAGACCACCGTTCTATCACAAGTTACACTTGCATGGACTCTATTTATTTATATATATATAAGATATATTATTTATACATATATATATATTTTCTATATATGCACTTAAAAAAGTTTTTTTTTGTATACACGTGTTCACCTTTTATTATTGATGAGCACTCTTCACTTTAAATAGTGAATGAGGAGAAGGAATTTTTTGGAGATATAAGATTATTTGTCACTGGTTTGTTTATTTATTTATCATCACTGATATATTATGGATTCAGTTTGATTTTTTCTATTTAATATACACTATTGGTTATAATGTTCCAGTGTTTAACAAGGGACTGTTAACACTATAGCACTTACACTCACTGTTGGCACCTTAATATATATATATATTTTATTTATTTAGCGCTTCACTATTTTATAGTATATATTTGGCTACTTAATGGTTTAAGGTAAAGTGACAGCAGCTGTTGAGATAGGGACCTTGCCTGTATTGAGCGCAGGAGGATACTTGTAATTTTGTTTAATAGTACACGATGCGCTATTCAGTTATTGATATCAAAGCACACAATTGTCCAAATTCCCATATCAATTGCTATAGGGAATAACTAGAATGTTGTGCAATCCGGAGGTAAAGATCCTTGAAACAAATAGAATGCGCACTCACCAGAAGTGCATATAAAATACGCATGTAGAGAGATAAATTCTTCAAAACATCTTGGTCATCAAGGTTCTGGTCAGGTCACACTCTACATCATCCTCTGTCTCACCGTAATCAACAGTTTCCAGGGTTCATCAAACAGTATGGGCGTCAGAATTCTCCTTGGTCCAACCAGGCACTGTGGGAGATGGTGCTCTCAAAGAGAGCCCAATAAGGGACGCCACATAGTGTGATGTTGTTTTGACACAAGTTTATTTGCCAAGATGAGGCAAAATAAAAAGTGTTACTGACCCTATATAATAGTTGGCCACCTGTGGTGGCTAGGGGGTTTATTTACTAAAGCTGGAGAGTCCAAAATCAGACTCCCTTCTGCATAGAAACCAATCCGCTTCTAACCTCAGCTTGTTCAATGAAGCTTTGGCAATGAAACCTGGAAGCTGATTGGTTTCTATGCAGAAGGGAGTCTGATTTTGGATTCTCAAGCTTTAGTAAATAAACCCCTAGATGTCCATGTGCTGTAGCCCCCCTGACGTGTTTCATGCGATGCACGTTCTCAAAGGGTGCAGGGCTTACCTCTGATTTAACTCTAAGGCTCCATTCATACTTGGAGCTTCCAGAACGCGTAAAAAAAAATGCACAGAAAACGCACATTTTGCCGTGAGTTTCAGGAATGCTCTGCAAATGCCTTCCCTGTTTGCACTGCCATTACTTGTTAATGGCACCCCCCCAAGCGAGGGTAAGCAGGCACCCATTGGCTGCTTGTTACATCACATGGCAAACGCTCAGTGAAAAAACGTGCCATGTTTCTGCTCCAACGTGGAGCTTCTTTAGGGTGTCTGTTGTGTGTAGGGCAGCCCATTCAAGTGAATGGACTGCCCAATGCGTGACAAGCAAAACGCTCCAAAAACAAGCAAAAAAACAAAATACTTGAGTAGAAAATCAAGTTCTCGCTATGCTCAGATGTGAATCCAACTTCAGGACTCATTTACCACTTTTGAGAGGACAGTAGAGCAGTGACTGGTGAACTGATGCCCCCGAAAGCCTTTTTTGGCAGCTGATACAGATGTTTTAAATCGGACCCAGGTGATTGGCCTGCAGTTGAAGCGCAGTATTCATATTCATCTTAATGAGTCCCTTTTGCCTGCCGTAGTTGCCATGTCACGCCGCACCGCATCAGTGTTTACCACCAAAGCCGCTGACCAGGTTAACTTGCTACAAAGAAAAACAAACAGAGGGCGCCCCGGCCTAGTGCATTATCGTAAAAAATGTATTGGAAGGATAAAAAGTAAGTATCATACTCACAACAGGCAAACAGGTCAAAGGCACATCACACTAAACAGCGGTGTCCAATCCACATTGCATATACAGTTTTGTTCAAAATAATAGCAGTGTGTTGAAAAAAGTGAATAAAGCTCAAAATCCTTCTAATAGCTTTTATTTCCATACACACAAATGCATTGGGAACCCTACACATTCTATTCCAAATCAAAACATGAAGAAAAATATATCAAATTTGTGTTTTTTTCCTCTAAAAACAATATGAAGAAAAGTGAATATTAGACTGTTCAAAAAATTAGCAGTGTTTGTATTCTTCTTTACAAACTCAAACATTCACTATATAAACTGAAAAATGTTTGAAGATTTTGCTTTCCTTTGAATGACTTAATGAATATTTGGTTGTAGTCGCACTGTTTTTGAGAACTGCTGTACATCTGCGTTGCATGGAGTCAACAAACTTCTGGCCCCTGTGAACAGGTATTCCAGCCCAGGATGATCGGACTACATTCCACAGTTCTTCTCTATTTCTTGGTTTTGCTTCAGAAACTGCATTTTTGATGTCACCCCACAAGTTTTCTATTGGATTAAGATCCGGGGATTGGGCTGGCCACTCCATAACGTCAATCTTGTTGGTCTGGAACCAAGATGTTGCACGTTTACTGGTGTGTTTGGGGTCGTTGTCTTGTTGGAACACCCATTTCAAGGGCATTTCCTCTTCAGCATAAGGCAGCATGACTTCTTCAAGTATTCTGATGTATTCAAACTGATCCATGATCCCTGGTATGTGATAAATAGGCCCAACACCGTAGTTTAGTATGAGAAACATCCCCATATCATGATGCTTGCACCACCATGCTTCACTGTCTTCACAGTGTATTGAGGCTTGAATTCAGTGTTTGGGGGTCGTCTGACAAACTGTCTCCGCCCACTAGACCCAAAAAGAACAATCTTACTTTCATCAGTCCACAAAATGTTGCACCATTTCTCTTTAGGCCAGGCAATGTGCTCTTTGGCAAATTGTAACCTCTTCAGCACACGTCTTTTTTTCCAACAGTGGGACTTTGCGGGGGCTTCTTGCAGATAGCTTGGCTTCACATAGGCGTCTTCTAATTGTAACAGTCCTCACAGGTAACTTTAGACCTTCTTTGATCTTCCTGGAGCTGATTGTTGGCTGATTCCTTGCCATTTTGGCTATTCTATCCATTCGAATGGTAGTTTTTCACTTTCTTCCACGTCTTTCAGGTTTTGGTTGCCATTTGAAAGCATTTACGATCATTTTAGCTGAGCAGCCGATCATTTTCTGCACTTCTTTATATGTTTTCCTCCCCTCTCCAATCAACTTTTTAATCGCGGTACGCTGTTCTTCTGAACAAATGTCTGGAACGACCCATTTTCCTCAGAATTTCAGAGAGAAATACACTGTAGCCAGCATGTACAACATTTGCAGCCTTCCTTCCTTAAATAAGGGCAATAATTGCCACCTGTTTTTCAAAGAATGAATGACCTCACTAATAGAACTCCACACTGCTATTATTTTGAACATGCCCCTTTCAATTAGTGATTCAATTACACAGAATCAGCAGCATGCATGTCATGACTGTTGGGTCTGTTGGATTTCTATTACTCTACTACACCTGCTAGTAAATTATTTGCCATGTAGAAATATAATTTCTACCAAAAACAGTGATTGATCAGGTTAGTGATGTCTGACTGCTATTATTTTGAACACAACTGTAAATATGGAAGAAGGCTGGGTTCAGGGCTCTTGGCCTGCTCTTGACAGTATAGGCTGTGAAGGAGGACTTTATCAATAATACATATGTGTTGCGCTCCACCTAAAAACTAAAATACTAAT